TTGGGAATTTTGGGGGGATTTTTTGGGAATTTTGGGGGGAATTTTTGGGAATTTTGGGGGGAACTTTTGGGAATTTTGGGGGGGATTTTTTGGGAATTTTGGGGGGAACTTTTGGGAATTTTGGGGGGAATTTTTAGGATTTTTTGGGAATTTTGGGGGGAATTTTTGGGAATTTTTAGGGAATTTTTGGAGGGGATTTTGGGAATATTTTGGAATTTTTTTGGAGGATTTTTGGGAATTTTGGGGAATTTTTAGGGAATTTTTTAGGATCTCATTCCCAGCTCCCCCTCCCCCAGCTGTCAATCAACACCGCGGGTAATTAGCAGCCGCCGGACGTTAATTAGCGCCTCATTAAGGGAGCTCATTAAGCTCCCTTGTTCCTCATTAATCACCGAAATGGGCGGAATTCAACCCAAAAATCCCGGGAGGTTTTGGGGATTTTTTTCCCGGATTTTTTGGGGAAAAAAAGGGAATTTTTTTTAATTTTTCCCGATTTTTTTCCCTCCTCCGGTTCCCAAAGGAAAATGGAAATTCCTGGATGGGGGAAAATTTGGGATTTGGGGAGGAAAATTTGGGATTTGGGGGGGAAAATTGGGATTTGGGGGAAAAATTGGGAATTTGAGGGGAAAATTTGGGATTTTGGGGGGGAAAAATGGGAATTTGGGGGGGAAAAATGGGAATTTTTGGGCTAGAATTGGGAATTGAGGGGGGAAAATTTGGGATTTGGGGGGAAAATTGGGAATTTGGGAGGAAAAATTGGGATTTGGGGGAAAAATTTGGGAATTTGGGGGGATAATTTGGGATTTTGGGGGGAAAAATTGGGATTTTCCCCCCCAAATTCCCGAATTCCCCATTTTCCATCCCAAATCCCAAATCCTTCACCCTTGGAAAATTCCCAATTTTTTCCTCCCCCCAAAAAAATCCCCAAATCTTTGGGAATTCCCCTTTTTTCCCCAAAAAAATCTCAAGGAAATTCCCCCTTTTTCCCCTCCAAAATTCCCCAAAAAATTCCCAAAAAATTCCCCAAAAATTCCCGAAAAATTCCCCAAAAAATCCCCCAAAATTCCCAAAAAATTCCCCAAAGATTCCCAAAAAATTCCTAAAAAATCCCCAAAAATTCCCGAAAAATTCCCCAAAAAATCCCCAAAAATTCCCAAAAAATTCCCCAAATATTCCCAAAAAATTCCTAAAAAATCCCCAAAAATTCCCCCAAAAATCCCCAAAAATTCCTCAAAAAATTCCCCAAAAATTCCCCAAAAATTCCCCAAAAAATTCCCAAAAAATTCCCAAAAATTTCCCCAAAAATTCCCCCCAAAAAATCCCGAATTTCCCTCCCCGCTCCTCGCGCAGGCCGCGCTCATTAATTATTCATTAACGCTCCCTTAATTAACGATTCCCGGCGGCTCCCGGGGGTGGGGGAGGGGCTGCGGCTGCTCCCGCCGCGGTTTTTTTGGGAATTTTTATTCCCGGTTTTTTTTGGGGTGGAAAATCGGGATTTGGGGATTTTTTAATCGGGGTTTATCCCGAATTTTTTTAGGATTTATCCCGAAATTTTGGGGGGGATTTGGAGGGGTTTTCTTAAGGGTGACGTCAGCGCGGTTGTGACGTCATTGCGGTTGTGACGTCAGCGAGGGGAGGGGGGAGCGGTCCTGAGGGAAAAATGGGGAAAAATGGGGAAAAATGGGAAAAAATGGGGAAAAAATCAGAGAAAAATGGGAAAAAATGGGAAAAAAAGAGGGAAAAAATGGGGAAAAAATGGAGAAAAAATGGGAAAAAATGGGGAAAATTTAGGAAAAATATGGCAAAAAATGGAGAAAAATGTGGCAAAAATGGGGAAAAAATGGGAATAAATGGGGAAAAAAAGGGGGAAAAAATGTGAATAAATGGGTTTTGGAGCGGGATTTTTTATGACTGGATTTTTTGGGAATTTTGGGTGTTTTTCCCATTTTTGCAGACCCTTTTCCAGAGCCCAGACGAGGGCTGGCAGGTGCTGAGAAACCGGGGAAAACCAGAGAAAAATGGGAAAAAATCAGAGAAAAATGGGAAAAAATGGGGAAAAAATGGGGAAAAATGGGGGAAAAATGGAGAAAAAATCAGAGAAAAATGGGAAAAAAATCAGAGAAAAATGGGGAAAAAATGGGAAAAAAAGAGGGAAAAAATGGGGAAAAATGGGGAATAAATGGGGAAAAAATGGGGGGAAAATGGAGAAAAAATCAGAGAAAAATGGGAAAAAATGGGAAAAAAAGAGGGAAAAAATGGGGAAAAAATGGAGAAAAAATGGGAAAAAAATGGGAAAAAATGGGGAAAAATGGGGAAAAAATGGAGAAAAAAATCAGAGAAAAATCAGAGAAAAATGGGGAAAAAATGGGAAAAAAATGGGGAATAAATGGGAAAAAAATGGGAATAAATGGGTTTTGGAGCGGGATTTTTTATGACTGGATTTTTTGGGAATTTTGGGTGTTTTTCCCATTTTTGCAGACCCTTTTCCAGAGCCCAGACGAGGGCTGGCAGGTGCTGAGAAACCGGGGAAAACCAGAGAAAAATGGGAAAAAATCAGAGAAAAATGGGAAAAAATGGGGAAAAAATGGGGAAAAAATTGAGAAAAAATCAGAGAAAAATGGGGAAAAAATCAGAGAAAAATGGGGAAAAAATGGGAAAAAATGGGGAATAAATCAGAGAAAAATGGGAAAAAATGGGAAAAAAAGAGGGAAAAAATGGGGAAAAATGGGGAATAAATGGGGAAAAAATGGGGGAAAAATGGAGAAAAAATCAGAGAAAAATGGGAAAAAAAGGGGGAAAAAATGTGAATAAATGGGTTTTGGAGCGGGATTTTTTATGACTGGATTTTTTGGGAATTTTGGGTGTTTTTCCCATTTTTGCAGACCCTTTTCCAGAGCCCAGACGAGGGCTGGCAGGTGCTGAGAAACCGGGGAAAACCAGAGAAAAATGGGAAAAAAATCAGAGAAAAATGGGGAAAAAATGGGGAAAAAATGGGGAAAAATGGGGAAAAATGGGGAATAAATGGGGAAAAATGGGAAAAAAATCAGAGAAAAATGGGGAAAAAATGGGAAAAAAAGAGGGAAAAAATGGGGAAAAATGGGGAATAAATGGGGAAAAAATGGGGGAAAAATGGAGAAAAAATCAGAGAAAAATGGGAAAAAATGGGAAAAAAAGAGGGAAAAAATGGAGAAAAAATGGGAAAAAAATGGGAAAAAATGGGGAAAAATGGGGAAAAAATGGAGAAAAAAATCAGAGAAAAATGTGGCAAAAATGGGGAAAAAATGGGAAAAAAATGGGGAATAAATGGGAAAAAAATGGGAATAAATGGGTTTTGGAGCGGGATTTTTTATGACTGGATTTTTTGGGAATTTTGGGTGTTTTTCCCGGTTTTGCAGACCCTTTTCCAGAGCCCAGACGAGGGCTGGCAGGTGCTGAGAAACTGGGGAAAACCAGAGAAAAATGGGGAAAAATCAGAGAAAAATGGGGGGAAAATGGGGAAAAAATGGAGAAAAAATCAGCGAAAAATGGGAAAAAAATGGGGAAAAATGGGGAAAAGGAGGGGAAAAAATGGGAATAAATGGGGAAAAAAGAGGGAAAAAATGGGGGAAAAATGGAGAAAAAATCAGAGAAAAATGGGAAAAAAATGGGAAAAAAATGGGGAAAATTTAGGAAAAATATGGCAAAAAATGGAGAAAAATTTGGCAAAAATGTGGCAAAAATGGGAATAAATGGGGAAAAAAAGGGGGAAAAAATGGGAATAAATGGGGAAAAAAGAGGGAAAAAATGAGGGAAAAATGGAGAAAAAATCAGAGAAAAATGGGAAAAACTGGGGGAAAAATGGGGAAAAAATCAGAGAAAAATGGGAAAACCTGGGAAAAATGGGAAAAAATCAGAGAAAAATGGGAAAAAATGGGGAAAAAATGGGAAAAAAATGGGGGGAAAATGGGGAAAAAATCAGATAAAAATGGGATTTCCTGGGATTGGGATTTTTTGGGAATTTTGAGTGTTTTTCCCATTTTTGCAGACCCTTTTCCAGAGCCCAGACGAGGGCTGGCAGGTGCTGAGAAACCGGGGAAAACCAGA